TTTGAAGAATCAAACCAAATTTATTCGTAATTTAGATCTCGAATTTTATCAAAAAATAAAAAATTTCATATTAGCGATCAGTTCGCTCGTTTTTATCTTAAATTTAAAGGTTAACAAACATATATGTATGTATATAATTATATAATATTTGTCACAAATTAAATTTTCTAACGAGTTATATCAAAATAAGCATAAACGAGAGTAAGACTCATTGTCACGGTCCTTACGATTTTTTATTATTATAATTTTATGTAATTTTCGTAAAAATTTCACACATCTTCACCGTAAACAAAACCGAGTTGTTAAGAGCAACCAAATATATAATCCGTAAAATGTACACACAGTCAGGCAGACAGACACACACACAGACACACACAAACACACACACACACAGAGGAAGAGAGAGAGAGAGAGAGAGAGAGGGATACAGATACAGTCACAATAATTTATTATGACAAGCTTATAATAATGAAAATTCAATTGTCGATTTTCCAAGATAATATCTACAAAAATCTTGTACATTTTGATTAAACAACGAGTTAAAAAGTAAATAAGACATTCAAACATCGATTCGTCAAAATAAACGTAGGAATCATTGAAAGATACATATCGTTTTTATTTACCCTCCATTTTTTTCATGATTATACATTTGTACATTACTTCCACGGACACATATTTACGTACATATATATATATATATATATATACATATACATAGTGTGATGTCTCTCTATGTATATGTGTGTATATTCACTGTAAATAGTTCGCATTTATCCTTACAGCTTATGAGAAGAGTTACGTGATAAAATCTGTGAATGTATACAAAGGTAACGTGTTTATTTGGATATGTACAAAGGATTCCCCAAGAGTCTAGTATAGAGAATGTTTATATTAACGAATAATCTCATTTTCGTTTGTTTATTTTCGTATGTAAATAATGCGAAAAATAGATGGGTGAAATAAAAACAGATGTTAACGTATATCACGTGATATGACTTGACTATGTTTGTTTGTTTCAAGATAAAGGGAGGAGATTGTGAAATTATACATGTTAATTAGAATATTTGTCAGAAATCTATAAAAAGGACGATTGTTTCTTTATAAAATTGTTATCTTTTATTATTAATACCTTTTACGTCACTTATTTCATTTTTTTTATTTGTCATATATAAATTAAACTATATTAATAATTTACTAGATTAATATTCTTGATATATATATATATATATTATATATATATGTATATATAATATATATATAATGTATATATATAATGAAATTGAATCTAAGAATTTAGTTTTACGAGAATGAAAAACAGTTTTACATAATGAGAATGAAGTAATTTTATTACTAGACACATTTTCTAATTCTTTCTTTAATTCTCTCTTTATCTCGTCCGAATTGAAAGTCTCAAAGCCTAACAGAATTCCTAAGTGATCATGGTACGGCGCTATTGTTCGTATATTTTCCCTTTCCTTTCTTTTCTTTTCTTATGTTTTCTTTTATTTCTTTTTTCTTTTCTTTTCTTCTTCATCTGCCATAATCCGAAAGAGTTTTAAATCTAAATGAGTTCGTCGTTTTTCCATAAAGCATAGGAAAAACTCGCAAACTATAAGCTGTAGCTATCTCGTTGGACGGTCCATGCGTCCAGGAGCGTATTTAACGTAAGGCGCATTAGGCGGAAAACTGGTCATTGCTCTCTATAGGGAGGTCACATTTTAAAATCTTACTTCTGACATTATTTCTTTATGAATACTAATATAAAGAACAATATCGAAATAAAAAAATGATATAAAAAAATAGTTTTTTTTTCAAATCACGTTTAGTATTATATATGTTATTATATTTGTTAAAACGAATGGTAAGGAAAAGAGAAAGTGTTCTACGTATTACTATTTTTTCTTTTCTTTTTAATTAAAATTTGAATCGATAATTTTTTTGAACGCGAATATATATATATATATATATATATATATATATATATATATATCAATGCAATAAATATATATCAATGCAGTGTTCCCTTTTTTGATTTATTAAAACTAATTGTTAGGGAAATGTCGATTTTTATTTTCGATAAAATAATTAAAAAAAAAGAGAGAGAGAAAGAAAAAAGAAAGACAATATCTTCGTGAGTGAAATCACGATATTTGATATAATTACATGGAAGTAAGCGTGTAACGAGACTGACTTTAATTACGTGAAACTTTTAGAATGAAATTTCGAATTTTACAAAAAATATTTTAAGTTATTTGCAATTCGATAATACCGTGATAAATTATTTGATTGAAAGAACAAACAGGAATAAAAAAGAAAGATTTTTCGTATTTATTAATAAATCGTGTTGAATATTATTAATTAAAAGTTAATTTCGGTTAATGAATGAGACGTTATTTTTATTTATATCGTAAAATTCATCATATAGTTTTTTCTTTTTTTTTGGAACGTTCTCAAGCGATTACGGAAAGGAGTCATGCAATTTATCTAATTGAAAACCATCGAGTATGTCACAAATGGATTTTGTTGCGCCTGAGGTATGTTGTAAAGGGATTTGTCCTTAGTATGAGACTAACGAAAGAGAACAAACATTTCATTTAACGACAGCATCTGGTTTTATGAGAAAATCGGTATTAATATTTTATGAATAGATTGTTTGTTCAATTTCGTGTCAATGAATTTAACCGAGGAAAGAGAATTTTATCGTTAATAAAAGTTTATATATAAAAATTTATATATAAAAAAAGAGGAAAACTTCTCGCACTTCCATTTGTCAGGATTCAACTAATTTATTTTTATTTCCTCTAATCTTTTTCTATTTGATCTTAAAATCATGGATTATAAAAGATTATTCGATAATATTTATTTTCTCAGAAGGAAAAGATTATTTCTCAAATAGTAATAATATTGAAATTTTTTTTTAAATGAAAAATTTCATTATTATTTATTCTTATATGAATTGCAATAACTTAATTGCTTCATCACTTTTAAAGCAAACTATATTATAAGCCAGGTTAAATATATTTCCGTTAAATTTGTCTTCTATTTCTGGCTAGAATATGTTCCAAATGTTTCGAGTAAAAAGAAAGAAAAAAAATATAAACAAGGAAAGAAAATGACAAATAGGAAAGAAAAAGAAAAAAATAAATATTTACGACACGAGCGGTACTTGAATCCGAGCCAGTGCGAGTGCTTCACATTCGCTACTTCGCTAAACCCACTAATAGCAAACTAAATAAACATTACAAGTATACAAACCACCTTTAAAACTTTTTTTTATAAACAACGATACGTTTCTTCTTCTCCTTGTTTTCTTTTTTCGTTTTCTTCATTTCTTTTTCTTTTTTTGTACTTTTTCTCTTTTTTCTTTTGTTGATAACGTTTTATTTTAAAGACTTCCTTTGTCAAAGAAAACATTACCTCTTTGTCACACTTACGTACCTTTTTAATGTCAGAATTATGTTTTACATGTAGAAAAACTTTTATATATTTTTATAATGCTTCCAATTAAAGAATTATATATACATATATATTAAGACATATTTTATTTCAGTTGCTTTCTTTTTGTAATATTTATAAACGAATATTTTTTTTACGTTTTAGGTATTTTCAAAAATAATAGACCCCGACATATATCCGATCTTAACATAGCGGTCTTAACAACCTGATTAAAATTGAAGCTAAATTTAATTATTATCTACATTATGTACATTCTACATTATATTAATAAAGATTAAGAAAAAAGTATAAAAAATAGTAGTTATAATGGTAAAGTCAACTTTGTTATTTGCAAGATCATAGATCGATGCTCGTAAGGATATCTTATTCGCAAGTATTTTTATTTTTGTACAACCTAAAAACGAATACTCTGAACAAGAAATCTAAACAATTTATCCAAACATTTCTTTACTTTGAGAAAATATGCTACATGTTCATACAATAGCTATTTGTTCAGACAATTTTCTGATTCTTATACTATTTGAAGTTCACGAAATAAAACATTTTATTATTTTGGAAAATAATTAATTTTTTTTAAACTTATTTATATATTTTTTCCATAACAACAAAAACACATCAATGATCAATCAGCGAATTTTCATTTTTCTTTATAAAGATTCCATATTATTAAAATTAATTAATAATTAATTATATCGAAAAATTGATAAGTGAGAATCGATAAGAAAGAAAATAAAATCGATGGTAGACGAAAATTAATGGAATAGAAGGAAAGCTAGTATTATGAACTGGTGATAACGATTGTAATAAGAATAGACAAAAAAAGAAGAAGATATGTACGATAAGAGAAGGTAAGAAACGAAAACAAAAGGAGAATGGCTAATTAGTATGTACCATTCTGATCGCGGAAACTTTTCATAATAGTAACATTAAAGTTACGATTAATCGCTTAACTCGATTCAGATTTCGTAAAAGTAGCCGTAAAAGAGTAACGGTTGAAATATTCAACGTGTTGAAATTCTATTGCTACGGTTCTTAAGGATAACCAATCGGATTGTGAGAATTGTTTTGACGTCACTCTTAACGAGCGATAAAACGAAAATATCTGCGAACAAGCTCCATTATCAGATAAATTTAAATGATTATCCGATTAATTTTTTAACTCACCGAAAGATAATAATATACAATGAGTGTAAAAACTAGTCGTACAGCAGTGAATTTGAACAAAAATTTCGTAGAACTTTGTTTATTAAAAAAAAATTTTAACGAAAAAAAAATGTATATTTTTAGAAATTTGTAAAATGAATGTTATTACAAAATAATTATTTATTTATATTTATTATGAAAATATTAACAAATTTTCAAAAATTAGCAGAAAAAGTACGCGTAATAATTATTCGTACATTTCTACGTTTACAAAAAATATTATACATTTTAATACATAAACGTAATAAAAAAGTTTTAGTATTAGAAATTATTTTTTCTTCGAGATAATCCCATTAGCATTCAAGTCTGAAGATTATGCATGGTATTTTTAATTAATTTGGTATCTTATACAAGATCCATTGTCGCATATTGTAAGCGAGTTTTAGATTATTATCTTGTAAAATGATATATAATTGTCCTGTAATCCAATTTTATTTGCATTAGCTTGAAGATGTTGTTTTAAAATATTAATATGAATGTATGGTCCATGTTACCATCAATAAAATAAAGAAATCCAAACACGTTTGCATTCATGCAGCTCCGAACTGTAAGCTCTTCCATGCTTTACGGACGTCTAGAAATAGTTTTACTTATATTCGGTATTTTTTTCACTCCAAATAGTATATCATCCATCCGATATATATATGTTAAATTTACTTTCATCAGTAAATATACTACGAATTCAATGTTCCTTAGAAACATTGATTTAGTCTTTTATAAACTCTAATCGTTTCTACGTACTTTACTACTGAACACATTAATATTAAGATTATTTTTTAATTTAGTAGCTATGTTTATTGCACTTATTTAGATTCTGTTTTACTTTTGATATTATTCATCGATTAATATACTTACTTATTTTACTTTTATTTTCATGGATTATTTTTTAAAGTTTTTTGGTCTCCATATTTTTCAATAATTCCTTGATTCGTAAACCATGATCCACCTGCAATTTTAGAAATTTCACTCAGTGTTTTGCACTTATTATTTAAGTAAATTTATAAGAATTTTCTTTCTTTCTTCAAAAGTTTTCTGGCCTTTACGTACCATTTTACGGTTATCACTGTTGACTATATAAGAATCTAGAACACTATTTGTATCGGCAACCAGATGTACTGATTCTAAATGTGTTGACATAAGATGTATTATCTTGTATTTATCCTATGTACAAAGACTATACGTATTAAGTATGTATACATGTATAAGTATTAAGTATTACATGTACATTTTTTGCTAATTCTTGAAAGTCGTTAATATTTTCATAACAGATATAAGTAAATAATTATTTTTTAATAACATTCGTTTTAGAGATTTCTAAATATATATATATTTTTTGTTAACATTTTTTTATAATAAAGAAAATTCTACAAAGTATTTGTTTAAATTTACTTAAAATTATTTGTACTGCTGTACGAATATTTTTTTATACTCACTGTATATAATAAAGAAATATAATCGACGAAAATCGATAAATTTACTTCTAAATTTTACAAAATATTTCTCTTTTCTTTTTGAATATATTCTTTCTTCTTTTATTGTTATAAATAAATAAATAAATAACATAGAATGTACATGACGTGTATAATATTTAAGTATATACTTTTTCCACTTATTTATCTTCTTCTTCGTCTTTTTATCATTATTCCTATTATTATATTATACTATTATATATTATTATTATTATTATTATTATTATTATTATTATTATTATTATTATTATTATTATTATTATTATTATTATTATTATTATTATTATTATTATTATTATTATTATTATTATTATTATTATTATTATTATTATTATTATTATATACATATATATATATATATATATATATATATATATATATGTAAAGAAAGTATACTTTCTTCAAGTATTTGCCGCGCATCTCATAGCCCGCCCTTCTATTGTCCTTTATTATTTACAATTTCTTTTGTGACCTACAAATCGAGTCATTAAGATTTGGAAGAGAAACGGGCAGTATGAAATATAACATAGAAGAGAAAAGCAACACGAGAGCTAGAAGAAGATTCATAATATAAAAGAAATAAAATTTAACAGTGTGAATAATAAACGTTAATTGTCGTTTCTTTGTTCACAGGTAAGACTAATCAGAAACTAAGCATTAATTAACAAATAAAGATTTATCACTTTGTTCACAGAGAAACATATTTTCGTTTATCACCTCCCATAAGTAATCCGAGATATATATATACATATAAAATAATAATAATAGTAATAATATATATATATATATTATCTATATCGATCACATTCTGTTTTTGACATTTTACGGAAAGAAATTTACGGATTTCTATATATGTTTATTATGTTTTCAACAACAAAAAACTTACATATGTATATTACATATATTTTATTTGAATAAATTTCTGTAATATTTATAGACATGTTAAATTATACATACTTCTTTTGTTTTTATTCTTTTAGGAAAATTATATGAGATAAGATTTCTAAATGTATCAATCGTTTTTAATAATATGTAGTAAAGTTGAGGACATTTAAATTAATTAAACAGTAGATTAAATTTATAGATTATTTATATATATTGGCAATTGTATTGTATATAACGACGTTTATACATAAATATCGATATAGATCTTCATAGCTCGGTGGTAGAGTGTTTGTTTTCGAAAAGCGAAAGGTCGTCCCGAGTTCGAATCCCACTTTCCTTTCCTCCTATCTAGGCAAAAATTTTGTTGTGTCAGCTCCCTGAGTTTTTTCTCTTCTGTCTTCTTTTCTAAGACGTATTATTCTCCTCTATATTATTATCATCTTGCATTTTCACCTTTCCTTTCTAGATAAAAGGTCAAAAAAATGGATTATTTCCATATTTGTGGTTTGTGTTTGGATTAGTTGGGTGGACTTTCCGCCCCCTCTCCTTTCTTTTTGATTTTCCTTGTTTCTGTCCTTTCCCCCTTTGTTCCAGCTTTATAAATTCCTTGAAAACTAGTCATTTCCATGCTAATCGACAAGGCCTAGTAATCAGACCTAATTTCTTTTATCCTAATGAAAGCTTTAATTAGGATAAGAAATGTTGTCGCATTTGTATAGTACTAAAAATGTATTTGGTAACTTATATGTGATATCTTCTTTCCAGTCGTAAGTTTAAGATTAAATAAGTCATCCTTAAAATACCAAACAAGGCAGTGATATAGTCCTTTAATCTCTATCATCAAAAAGTTTCCTCACTCCTTAATGCAATCAACTCAATTCTCACATCACCGTGTCAAGGGTTAATAGAGGAAGGCTTACAAGAGGGGGAAGAAGACGAACAACAGTTTCTTTCTTATCCCTTTCCTTATGACACAAACAGAAAGAGAGAGAGAGAGAGAGAGAGAGAGAGAGAGAGTGAGAGAGAGGGGTGGTCCGTTTGCTGCCAATGAACAGGACAAATCTCCTTAAAATTTGGAAAGTTGAAGATGGATCCCTTTTATCTCAAATTGAGTTTATGTGGGGTTTAGAAGTGTAAGGATATACCTACGAAGAAAACTTGAGTTGAAAGTATCCTCCTAAGATAGCTCCGTTATGAATGGAGCAGTCAGTCGCCCGAAAATAAATTAAATTAACAATCAAACGAATACCCAATTTTTCTTTCTTTCTTTTTTTTGTTTTTTTTTTCCTTTTCTTCTTTCTTTTCCTTTCCTTTTTTTAGTTTAATTTCTTCTTTTTTTCATTGCTACGATACACCACGAGCGAATTTAAATTGCTTTAGCATTTAATGAAATAAGTTTTTTTCGTATATTCATTTATGAATAATCATCCATTGAACGGACTTTGATAAGGCTTCTTTTTTGTTTTCTTTTTTTTCTCTATTTTTTGCTCGATTTTTCCAGATGATTTCCAATGAATTTTTTTTTGTTTACTTATTCATCAGACGATCTTCATAAATGGATCTTTCTTTATGTAATACTTTCACTTTTCATTAAATATATATTTCCAGATATATACTTATTAAGCATTACATACATTACTTGTAGGCACTTCATAAGTGTATGTGATGTTTTTATATAAATTTATACTTTTGAAAATACATACATATGCTTTACATTTATTATTTTGTTTTAATCTTTTCTTTTTTTTCTCGAAATTACATTGAATCAGGCAATTTTGTATATTCACAATTTCTATTTTATTTATTATCATTGCAAAGGTATAATAGCTTCGAAAATCAGAATAAATTAATCTTCACAAAGGAACAATTTCTCTGAACAATAATCGAACTTGATATGAATTGTACGACCATTTTTAGCGCATCTGCATTTTGCAAATTTTTTGCTAGAAGATTCTCCAGGGCTTGCTATATGTGTGTACGTGTGTGAGATAAGCCGATTGGTAATCGAACAAAGAAATAGAAGTATAAGACAAATGGGTCGATAGAGCGTGATTTGTCTTACTCAAGGTGCGTATGGTTATGGAAAGAAAAGAGATGCTGAGATATTGGGTGAAAGTGGGATTGTATGAGAGAGTCTGAAGAAAATAAGCGAGTGTGTCAATAATTTCTGGTCAAAAAAAGAGTCATAGTATTTCCATGTCCGAAAAGACCAACATTCTGTATATGTATTTCATTTTTATTCTTTTATTTTCCGTAATAGATATCAATTGTTTTTATTTTTATTAATCTCGACTATCTTAATACTCAGTAATATTTATACACGATAAATATTCATAGATTTTTAGAAGGAGCATTATCAAAAGAAATACGCGACTCAGTGTGTTTTTGTAAAATTTCATTCGATGTGCATGAAAACTCTGTCCGTTGTGCGAAAAAATTTCTATTTGCTATGTGCGAAATGAAAGGAAGCAATTAAAGTGCACGAGAAATTTAGCCACGACCGGAAACAAAAGCAGACTAATTGATAGACTAATGATCTAGATGTATCTAAAAAAAGGAATTAGATGATTCATCTGTTCAAGAGGATAGCGTTGTTGTTAATGGCAACCCTAAGCCCACGGTGTCGAACATACCAGAAGATCTACGAATCGAGAGTGATCAGATTTCCAGAGAGCTTAAATTCGTAAAAGATAAGAGATACCTGCTTTAGAGGGAATTGCAATTGATGAAAAAGGAACAAACGATGTTATCGATTCCCACTATTAGTGTTGAAGATATAGGGAGGATGAGTAACATGACGATGAATGTTAACATAAAGGGTATTAACGAATTGTTGTGCGAGTTCGACGGGCTTGATAATTCGTTCTGGAAATGAGAACAATAGATAAACCTTGAACGAAGTTCATATAATTTAGACGACCACATCACGAAGATGATGATAATGCAGAGATTAAAGGAGCAAGCTTTTAATTGATTCCATTCAAAACCGAAACATGTCGGTTTGAGTGTCGAAAATCTCCTTCAACGTATGAGAATGATGTACGATTATCGCCATAGTAAACAAGCTCTGAGGAAGGAATTTGAGACACGCATATAGCGCTAGAATGAACCATTCAGCAATTATTATTACGAGAAAATTGTGCTCGCGAACTATGCCTTAATTTCCGAAAATAAAATAATCTATTATCTTATCGATGAGAAGCCGGATGTGCATCTCCAGGATCAGGCACGAGTGTCCCAATCTGAGTTGGTTGAAGCGTTTGGAAAAATCAATCTGTGCCCTAGGAAGTCGTTCGATCATACCTCGAAGGACGTAAAGACATCAGATGCCAAGATGGGAACATCGAGAACAGGAACGACCTTGGAACACGTAATCAGAAGGTCTTATAATTACGAGGAGGTTGGCCATTATTTTCCGTAATACCGAAACCCGAGACCATCAAAAGGAGTTTGTTATTGTTGTGGATCCGTCGATCATCACATAAAGGATTGCTCGAAAAAAAGGAAGTCTTTTGCGTCGTCTTCAAAATCGATCTCTGTCTCTGCTTCTCTTTTAGATTCGACGAATTTACTACAAGCAACGTTTCATCGCCATACACGATATACATAGCATTTACTGCGGTCGATGAGAATAATGACAGCTGTAGGTATGTGTTCAACGCAATAGTTGATCTCAAATCACCAATACGTATCATCAGACAAAGCTATGTACCGAAGAATATAAAATTGTCGGCCGTAGGAAAAGATCACGATTTCTGTGGGATCAATGATTCCAAGTTGCGGGTTTCAG